TTAATTAATTCCATAACTCTTTAATTAGCCCTATAATTGATTCTTCACACTGCTCCTAGAATAGGTTGGTCTAAAACACAATTCTGAACATGCTATTCCATTACTTCAAACTTTAATAAATAAGTATGGTGATGAGTAACCGTGAAAACACAGGAACCTCCTCATCATGTTCTTAAGATACATTCCAAATTCTTTAATGGACCTTATAAAACACTGGAAGCACAATCTTTTTCAGCATTTTCAGTATTCTGTCCCTTGTCCACCACACCCTAGGCATGCTCACCTAGTCATTGCTCTTTGCACATAGTGCTCACTCTGCCCAGAATACTTTTTTCCCACTGTGCTAAAGCCTACTCAAGAGTCCTGGTGTGGTGCTGTGGGTTAATGCGCTGGATTGCAAAGTCCGTTTGAACCACAGAGTCAGCAGTTCAAGCTTACCAGCTGCTCCTTGGAAACTACATAGAGGGTCGCTATGGGTCGGAACCGACTAGACAGCACTTAACAACGCCAGCCTCAAGGAACCTTGATGTGCAATGGTTAGGTACTTGGCTGCAAACCAGAAGGTTGTCAGTTTCAACCCAATTGCCACTCAACAGCAGAGAAACACTGGTGATCTAGTTCCATATAGTCCAGCCTAGAAAACCCAATGTGGCAGTTCTACTGTTACACATGGTCACTATGAGTTATAAATGACTCAACAGGAACAACAACAATGTCTACTCATTCTTCAGAACACAACCAAGACACCATTTCTGTTTCAAATCATCCTCAAAACCTCAAAGATGGAATCAGGTCTCCTTTCCCTGTGATCCCACAAATGTTGTCATACTGAATGGTTAACTGCTTGCTTATGTATCTACTTCCCCCACTAGTGTGTAAGCTCCAAATATGACAAGGACCAGGTCTTCCTTATGGGGTTCCAGTGACGCAGTGGTTGAATGACTGGCTGCTAACCAAAGATCAGCAATTCAAACCCACCAGCTGCTCTCTGGGACAAAGATACACCAGTTTCATAAAGTTTTCAGACTCAAAACCCTATAGAACGAACAGTTCTACTCACTCTCCCCTTACAGAGTCAATGAGTTAAAACAGACTCAATGGGTTTGGTTAGTTTTCATGTCTTTATTTATTATGACTAGACTTCCTTGTTGTTGTTATGAGCCATCGAGTCGGTTGGACTCATAGTGACTCTGTATAGGGTTTCTGAGCATAGAACCTAGTAATAAGTGGTTGTTCAACAGTTTATTTGTTAAATAACTAAGCACAATGGTAGGTATAGTAGAAGAAACAAAGAATAACTAAACTGTATTTACCCTAAAGACATTCAAATACATCACTATTGTTGTTAAGTGCCCTCAAGTCAGCTCCGAATCATAGCGAACACAGGTATAGGGTTTCCTAGGAGTGGCTGGTGAGTTTGAATTGCCAATTTGCAGTTCAGACAAATCTTACAGTCCAATATTTATCCTATAGTGCCCTACACCAGGACTCCACATACATAAGGAACAAAGGCTTAATTAATGATAAGAGATGTTATAAACAAAGAGAAGTATCAATGTTAATCTTTTAGAGGTAATCTTCAAAGTGTCAAAGAGCTTTCTTTAGGTTAAGCAAATATTAAAACTCACTTTAAAATATATTTTTCATTTCTACTTTGATGTATTTTCTAATCTACTCAATAAAGTACTGTAAAAGGTGGTGATGGTTGTGTGCAATGGAGTTGGTTCTGACTCACAGGGACCCTATATAGGGTTTCCAAAACTGCAAATCTCTATGGGAGCAGAAAGCCTCATCTTTCCCCTGCAGAATAGCTGGCCGTTCTGAACTGCTGACCTTGAAGTTAGCAGCCTGACTCTTAACCACTACGCTACCAGAGATCCTTGTAATAGATAACAGAAGCATTCATATATGGATGGGGCTCAGTTTAATTTTTTTTTTTTTGATGAGTGCAACAGATAATCCAAAAAGCTTAGAAACTATAGTTATAAATACTTGATCTTAATCTTCATGTATCAGGCAGTAGAGAAGTGGGCTACAAATCCCTTTGGAAATGGAATGAAAGCTAAGAATTATCTCCCAGAAAAATGAAATTTATGTATTTTTAAGTTGTGGTATATGATTTCAAGGGTTTCATAGACTTCAGCTCAGTCTTGTCCTTAGCTATCCAATATACAACAATTGGTCTGTATTCATCTGGAGCAATAGAGAAAGATGAATAAGGAATAGGAGGAGCACATAAAATCGTGGCTGCTTCCATGAACAACTGACTCCTTTGCCATGAGACCAGGAGAACTGGATGGGACTTGGGACTACCATTATGGAACATTTTGAGAAAAGATTGTATAGAAGAATCCTGATCTGGGGGTGGGGACAGAATTAAAAATTCTCATGGAATCCACTTTCTGGAATCGTGGAAATTGGATGGACCCTAGAAATTTAAAGTCCTTTTTACTTTAAACCAAAAACATCCCTTCAAACCAATTAAACCCACCAAACCAAATCTACTGCCAGAGTCAATTACGACTCATAAGGACCCTGTATAGGGTTTCCAAACCAAGTAACAGTTTAGCTTAAGTAGTAAAGAAAGACTGATTGAGCATTTTGCTCTTTTAAGATCTATACAGGATCAAATTGAAAAAAATAAGGAAGCTTTAGGGGCAGTGAGTTTATGGGAATGGAGGAGGAACAACTGGAGGAAAAGGTAAAAACAGTTGAACATCTTGAAAAGTATAATCAATGTCGCTGAATTGTACAAGTAGAAATTGCTGAATTGGTGTATGTTCTGTGTCTATTTTCCATAACAAAATTAATTTTTTTTTTTTTTTAAAGTCCACCCTTGATAGGGATGGGCAGCTGAGACATTCATTGGCTACCTAAAATTGGGGGATATAAGGCACAAAATGACTGGCTTACAAGTTGTCAAGAGGAAGTTTAGTTTCAGAGAGAGGAGGGAAGGTAGAATGCCCACTGAATGGTTTTCATCTTGTCCTACATGGGTCTGGTGAAAGGAGATGGGGATAGATTCGATTCTTTTTTTTTTTTTTGGAGGGGATAGATTCTTTTGATTCAATAGTGAGTAATTGCTATCATGATTAACTGTGATTGTCACAACTGTAAATGTAGAAGTTGTGTTAAAAGAGGGGAGTAGTTAACCTTACATTCCAGGAACAGAGGACCCTAGGACCATCAAGAGGGAAGAGCATGAGTGGAACATGGAATCATAGCCAGAGAATCAGCAACACCAGAGAAGGAGGCAGAGGTGATGGAGTGGAGAGACAGCAGCTGAGGACTCTAGACTCATGAAAAGAGAAAGGGTGTGTGCTGGCGGGCAGGAGGCTGTCTTGAAAATGTGCCCTTTGGTTGTTTAATTGATTATATATTCCTGTATACACTAAAAAAAGGCAGGAATAGAGACAAATATTGTTAACCAATGGCACATGGAAGGGATTGTAATCACTGTTGTTGTTGTTGTTGTGAAGTGCTGTCGTGTCGGTTCCGACCCATAGTGACTCTATATAGGGTTTTTGAGGAGCAGCTGGTGAGCTTAAACCGCTTGCCCTTACAGTTCAAATGGCTTTGCAGTCTGGCACATTAACCCACTGTAGTGAAGCAAAATATGATTGGTTGAGTGCAAAACCGAAGTTCTGCCAATAAACGATCACTGAATTTACAATAAAAGCTTTAAAAAAACAACAACAACAAAACTTCACCCTTGGACTTCCATTCCTAAAACTGTGAGACAGATAACC